AGAAAATGGAATCATCGCAAGTATCATAGAATTATAGAACTTTATAATCTTTGTACGTTATTGAAGATAATAATGAAGCAAGTGAAGCCAACTATATATATCAAACAAACAGTGAAATAAGAATAACAGCGAAAGACATAAATAAGTGAATCAAATATATAAATCAATATATGAAAAATGGAAAGCAAAATGGACTGCGCAGAACCCTAACTGACAAACCTAGCAAATGAGAAGTAAACTTGTGTCCACCGAAATTGACAACAAACCAGATTAAACAAAATTATTCAAATTATTAATAGGTCATATTAGGTTGGCGCAGAAATTTTTAATTTTTAAAGGAATATTATCTATGATGATCTTGCAATATAAAACTGTCAATAAAAATTAGAAATATTAGAAAAATTAGAAAGGGCCAAGGTTTTCCAATTAACTTGAACAAGCTTTCTCAACACAAAAAAAGTGATCCAGTCTTTTAGAATTCATCAAAGTAAACTGGTGGAACAAAAAAAAACATAACTATTGCTAATAGTCGTCGAAATTAAATGATAAAAAGAAAATAAAGAAATACGATTACAAGGATATATTCTTTGAACGAATAAAATTCTTCTTATTGTCAATATGTCGTATTATTCTATTTTATACTTATTTTGATAACATATTCTTCTTCTTCAAATAATTGCAGATTTTTATGCATTTTTAAATCTCTACGAACGTAATTAAATTTGTTTCATCAACTAAATATTCTGCTTTGCATATTTTATGCATTTGCTCGTATTACATGCATTTTTGCATCTTGAAATTTACCCTAAATGCATAAAAATCCGCAGTCTAGTTATCAGAGTGGTCTTCCTATGCTCAAATGTTTCCAAACGCATATTATCGAACGTTTCATCCCCCCCCCCCTTTCGATTGTCAGCGCGCAGATAATTGTCGCTTTTGTTTCTTTGAACTGCACTGATAACAGATTGCTTTTGTGACTGACCGCCGTTGCTTGTTATTTACGAACGCTCGTTGCCATTCGATCAAATTATTCCCTCCCCCCGTTTTCAGCTCACATTTCTCGAAGAATCGTATTACGAACGCATCCATTTTGTTTCATATATTCACATTACTATGTATCAATAATATTTTTTAGTTGAAAATTTCTGCCTTCAATAATACCATAAATTAACATAAAAATATAACGTATATATTATATATTATAAATGGTCCCGCACTATAATTCAAACTGTAAGGTAAAAACGGTTAGCTTAAAATAAAAATATTACAATCATGATTATTCCTCGTATCATATAGGATTTGTTATTCTTTATTGGAAGGAATAAATGGCTATGTGTTTTTAAGATTTGTTCATATTATTAATTATTACACTGCGCATCGTTTATGCGAAAAACGTACTATTATAAATTATATAAATTATTACTATATATTATTACAAATCATATAAATTGTTGTAATATATATTTTTTTTGTATTTATATGTTATTGACATTTTTTTTTTAACGTTAACTTGTCAATATTAAAATGTTAAGAAAGAACGTTACATTATACTAATACATACATATTTATCTATGTTCCAATATTGTTATGGTACAAAGTAACTTCTTTGTACTGAATATTTTAACTATACACATAGTCATCTATAATACGATAGTAATTAAATATATTGAGATAAAAATATGAAAGAAGTATTTAAAATACAACGTACATACACTTTTTAATCAAAATATGAAAAACATGTACAATATCCAAAATAATCCAAATATGTATCATGATATAATTTATTAATTATAATAATTAATGGTACATTAATCCTACAAGTAATGGTACAGTAATTAATTTATCATACATTACGATACATTATTAATGGTGCATTGAGAAAAATCTCTTAAATTTCAAATAAAACTATAAATTTATAATTGTCAACAAAGTTTAATGTTCTATTATATCTTTTTTTCGTTTCTCGTCAGTTGCAAGTGTATCTCATATCAGAGATACCATAAAATGTCTGCCACCTGAGCAATTGAACTTTCTTCATTCCCGGTTTTAGTTATTATCGTTGCATACGCGTCTTCCTGGGAGTTCAAATTACATTTACACTGTCTTTTTTTTTTTTAATTGTACTATACACGATTGAGAAACTCGGAATAGTAAACAGAGAAATAAATACAGATTATTACTCGTTTTAAAAACTAGATCAGAAGAAATACATAAAATCAGATTTATTATAAGTTAAACAATTTTCTATTGTAAGCAAACAATGTTTTATTATTAATTTCCAAAATTTTAACACACAAACTACTATGTTTCAATTTTATAGAAATATAGATTTTTTAATCAAAGCTTAACTTTTCTGATATAAGTATTCATTCTGTTCATTGAAGATGAAAAAGATAGATGTTTAAGGGGGGAAAAAACATTAGTTTATCATTTATTTGTTATATTATCTGAAGTTACGACAGGTTAAGAAAAGAAATCAATCTTTTCGAAATGCAAAGTGCAAAGATTTGTTGAACATCGAAGCAAAGATTGACTTTATATTTTTGAAATTAGACGACGATATAGTTACGTATCAACTGACGTGTACGAAAAATATCAAAAGTCAAATTTGGATAAGGGTGCAACTTTCAGCTTTTCCCTTTGAAACGCTGTTGCCTAACTGAAAATGTCGTTCAAATTCTTGTCATATTACGTGAACCGTACATTTGTATTCATACTATGTCGTTCAAAAAGGGAATTAATAATAACGTAATAGATATTAAATAGTGTAGTGTAGTGTGGTCTATATTAGGCTATTGAAAATAAACATAATTTGAAGTAATGAATGAATTGTTATTCACTTTATAAAAATTAGTTGGGAAAAAGTGAAATCATAAAATATGAATTATGAATTCATTTTTAAAATAATATTATGGATTTCTAAATCTTTGTAAACGCACAGACTACTATGTTTTAATTTGATAAGAATAAAGATTTTTTAAATCAAAATTTAATTTTATCGAATGGAAAAAGAAGAGGAAAAATGTGAAAATGTTATTTTATCATCTATTTATTAAATATGAATGAAATAAAAAAAAATAACCATTTGAAATAATGAATTATTTCAATCAATTTATTGTTGTTATTTTAAAAATAGCCTGGAGAAAATAACCTTAACATTTTTATGATATTAAACACTCTCCTTTACAATGGTTTAGATCATAATTTTTGGCTACATAATTGTCTTATTCAAACGCTATACAATGGTTTGAAAATTGATTATAACTTTATTAAAAATACTATTGTATATAAATTATTTGCGAAAAATATTAATAATCAGGGTATTCTACTACTCCATAAGAAAGTAATACTAACTTACAAATATGGGAATCTACAACTTTTTTTGATTTTTATTATTAGAAAATACAATTTGATATTCACGAATTTATTAATCAGTATTTAGTAAACAATAAGCATGAGGAAAAAAATGGAAGAAGAAAATAGTACTGTCTTTTGTATGGAAATGTGAATGATGTATAAAATTTTTTTGTATTTGCACCACTTTCCTTAAAATGAAAGTGATTTTTAATTCTTTCAACGGAATGCTATATATATGAAAGCATTAGATGATTACAATGACCTTGAGTATTATACATAATCAAAGTAAAAGGAAAGCTTTGAATATTTCGTACTATATTGTTTTATTTTATTCCATTTTAATTTTATTTCATTAATACTAAATATTCGAAATTTTTCTCTTGATTTTGATCTTGCATGATCTCGAAAGATCATTTTAATTTACGCATTTACATTATCATATGAAATATCTTTTAGAATGTAAAAAAGACGTAGCTATTTGAAAAATCGAAGATTATCTTCATTTCTGAAACTAAAATAATTTTACAAGAAACAATACTATATTTCGTTTCTTCTCACGTACGCTGGTTAGCGAATCTGTAAGCAGCCTGTACATTCGTAATGAAGTGTTTAATTTTTGAACTGGATATTATAGAAGGAATGAAAATAATGAACATTTTCATATATAAATTATTCATGTCAATTATTATTTATTTATCGTATAATTATTGCACGAATATTTGAAGTTAATAAATATTTTTAATCTTTAAATCAAAGTTTTGCAAATAATTACCCTGCAGTGATGCATAAAGAAACCGACTCCAATTCTACAGTTGATAGCCTTTAGCATTGGATTTCCATCTGTGCGATTGAAACACTGGAACGTAAGAACCAGGATAAAGGTTCAGTACGGGAGAGAATTTCCTATTCTCCGCAGAGTTTCTTGGTTTCCTCACACTGTTCTTTGTAAACACGTTCGCGTGTGCGTTGCAGTCAGAATGGAATATTAATAATTCAATTCCGCGTTGCCTGTGGCAAATGGAAACGCAGCATGGTACGCTGTAACCACTTTCGATTATCTTTAAATCGACAGTGGATTTACCCTCGGAGTATCATGGAATGAAGGTACACTGAAGGGAAGCAAGAAACAGTGAAATAAATACGTACAAATATTTCTCAAAATTTACAAACGGGCGAAGAAATTGATTTTTGAAATGTTTCGTCAAATCAAATCTAATCAAATTTTCAATTTTAATTAAATCTAATTATTTCGACTATACGTATATATACAAATACATGCATGATTCTCTCGCTGACATTAGGCTGACTATTTCGACGATTAAAAAAATAATTTTATTAATGAAAAACTTTCTTCATTATTTTATTAATTTCAAATACCAAGGTGTTAATTTTAAGTGATATTATTATTCAATGATTTACGTATCAACTCAATCTAAATTGAACGTAAAACTCGGACCAATGAATTGAAGTATTGAAAAAGATATGATCAGGAAACGTTCGATCGTACGCTATATGTAAATCCAATGTTTAATTTCATAGGGATTCATATTCTTCCAAAAGAGATCCAACCTTGTGTCTGCAGCATTAAACAACAAAACAAACAATCTCTTCTTTCGCTCATGCGCTTGCTATCTTATTTCCAGGCAGAGGAATATTTTTTAATGATGCGAAAACTTTTCTCGTCTGGTGCAACGAGGAGGATCACATGCGTCTGATATCGATGGAAAAGGGTGGAAACCTGTCGTCCGTGTACTCGAGGCTTGTTAAAGCGGTTACCGAAGTCGAGAAGAAAATACGATTTTCACGACACCCTCGGTTCGGCTTCCTCACCTTCTGCCCGACCAATCTGGGAACAACCATCAGGGCCTCTGTTCATGCCCGCTTTCCTAAATTGAGCGAAGATTACGCAAGATTCAGAGAAATCGCGAACATGTACAATCTTCAGGTAAGAAACGATACTCCCTTTTTTTTTTCAGAATCATTAGAGTTAATTTATTGAATTTTTATTTTAGAAATGGCAGGGTTTCTGTTACGATACAGAATTGCCTCTCAATAATAAAAATAAAAATAAAAAGAATGTTTCAACGTGGAAGTTAATAGTACACGAGCTTAGGCAAATTTTGTTTTGAAATAAACGACTCATTTAATTCGAATTAACTTATCATTTTTTATTTAAAAAGTAACGTAGTGACGTTGTCTTGGATTCAAATCAAGTAAATTATATTTGCAAATAAACAAATAAAGATGAAAACTATTTGAGAAATTATTTGTAGAAACAGACGTAAAATACAAAATTAAATAGAAACTTATTTTACTTGAAAGCCAAATAATTAAATAGTTTAGGGTAAAATCAGCAGGTAACGTAGGATTATTTCAAGATAACATTGAGCCAAATAAAATGATGTGTTGTTTAAACAATTATTTTTCAAATATTTTATTCAAATAATCTCTGTCTGGTAGTATTATTCTCTCTCTCTTTCTCTTTTTCCTTCTCTGTAGTGAAAATTTTCTCTGTAATAGATTAGACTAACTTTTGAACTTCTTTCAATGCTAAAATTGTAGTTTTATTGATTATTAGCGATTAAGATTAAAAAATTTTATATAATGGTCACGAGAAAGGAATATGTGAAGCTATTTTTTCTTGAAAACAATGTTAAAATGTTACAATTTTAAAATGTTAAAATTCAGTGTACTGTCAATCAATCTCATATAATTAAAAACTGTCTTTTTATTAAGTTGTAAATTCAATTTCAGCACAATTTTAAATGTGTCAAAGTATTGAAATTTAATTTACAACGTAATATTTGATTTGAAATATAAGTTAAATGCCTCTCTTGAATTTTTCAGAAATAGCAATTGTGATATTAGACATATTCTGCCTTTTCTTTTTTTTATAAATTTATGAATGTTCATACATGTATTGTTTATTTACAAGCAACTTACGTCACTGGAATTCCAGAAATTATTATTCTTTTAACTATATAAAATTGCAAACACTTCTTTCTACTAAATGAAATCAAAATAAACAAAACGACAAACATGTTCTTTCTATTTTGTTTTTATACATATTGCTTTCTTGCGAAAAAAGTGATCGAATTGAAAAAAATTTTTCGAGCTAACACTGTAAAAATGTCTTCGTCAATTAATGAAAATCTTGTTCTTTGATCTTTGTAATTTAGCCGTTAAAAAGAAATTATGTTGCTTTCTCTGATTCATGCTACATTCTATAAATAACTTTTATGAATTATGAATTTTATTTTGATTGCCATTGTTAACAAATGCATATTAATAAAATGAGAGGTATATTACTTTGAATTGCACTGTCCTTTTTAATTAACAAAGTAACATCTAATTATGTTCCAAACTAGGTTTTCATTTATTTTGAAAAACATATTTATTTCGAGTTGTGTGTCATTTTCTTTGCAAGGGTACTTTACAATATGTTTTAATGTAGTACGGAATGTTTAATATTTTAATATCATATAGTTTTAAATGTGTAAAAATGCAATATTTTAAGTGTTTCGCACAATATGTACATATGTATTATCTTCAATTCTACTTTAGAGTTCAATAATTATTCAATTATTTATATTAGGAAACGGCAAGTTTTAACAACATTAATTAAAAAGTATTTATAATTATATAATAGTAGATGTTATACAATTATAAAAACAAAATAAATTAGTAAACTGAAATTTTCTTTTATTTTACATACTAATACTAATTGCATAATAATTATATACTACCAATTATATTATTTGTATTAATACTAATACTTATCTTTCTTATATTTCTTATTTTAGAAATATGTTGTTATTTCTTCAGTAAATAGGGAATATTAAAATAATCTTGACAATATATGAAAAAATGCAAATTCAATGTAGAACATTTCTTAAGATTGTTGCAATATCACAAATACAAGTAACGTGTAATTACAATGCCATAATTGTAAATAACAACCTAATAAACATGATCAAATAATTTTAATAAGAAACAGCTTTTTGACCAATTAAAACCAATTTAATATGTTTAAAAAATGCGAATTTAATGTAGAATACTTCCTAAAGTTGTTGCAACATCATAAATACAAATAATAAACGAACAACCAATGTGTAATTACAATGCCATAATTATAAATAATAACATAATAAACATGACTGAATAATTTTGAAAAGAAACAGTTTTTTAACCAATTAAGACCAATTTAATGTATTTAAAAAGTCGATTTTAGATCGAACAGATTGCGTGCTGCTATAAAGTTGAAAATAAATGAGCAAGGAAAATAATTTTACGATTCAGCGTGATTATCATTATCGAACGTAACTCATCGTTGAAATGCTAATGAAACAGAACGCAACAAGTTACCGACTTCGGCTGGATCAACGTTAATCGTTCATACGAATTATTTATATCCTTTACTTTATCGATCTGACGCAGCGATGATCCTCGTGTACAAATCCCAAGTGTACACAACATAAATTATAGTTATGTGCAAACAAACAGGTATGAATATTTCACTTACGAGGGAAACATTTGACGCAAATCTTCCGGATTTACGGGCAAAAAGTTTACAAAACATAAAAACATACAGTTTTACCTATTAGACGAACTTATTTATTTTTCTCTTTTATTTTAATTTTAGTTTTTTCTTGTGTTTAGTGGATATGTACATTGCACATTTCCCCTTTCTCTTTTTTTTTTTTTTGTGAGCGCGCAGCACAGCTTTACTAAATTTCACTGTAAATAATTATAGCTCCGTCACTTGGCAGCAAATATCGAGCGGAAAACGAAACCTAGTGAATTTTGACCATGAAATGTATACAGTAATTATTAATGTTTGGATTCTAAATATTGAAATTATTATTATTAATAATTATTATAATTTTTATTATATTATTATATTATTATTAATAATTATTATTAATTAATTATTATATTATTATTATTTATAATTGTTATTATATTATTTTTATTATATTATTATATTATTAATAATAATAATTGTTAATATCAATATAATTTATAATTATTATTATTATTTATTATTATTATTATTATTAATATATTGTATAAAAGAAATCGTACAACTACAAATCTGGCCTCGTTTTAATAAACCCTCTACTTTCAAAATGCATCGTTTTTGTTCTAAAATGTTTTTACATCAGCGGGTAGGTTTGTGAAGATTTTTCTTCTTAGAGATGTACAGAATGCTATAAATTGTCACCGTATGCAGAAACATTGAAATATTTCTTTCATGACTTGAACACTGAAGCCTGTTTTTGAACTCTCGAAAATTAGATGTATGACTTTTCTTCCCCGTCATTTTCTCGAATCTTTGAATGTTAGACTTACAATTAAATGACCAAAATTCAAGAAATTTTCGTCATATTAGTTTCTGTCAGAGACAAATTTCTAGTTCAGTTTTTCGATTATTTTGCTATAGATTTTCTTTTCTCAGATTTTTTCAAGCTAGCGATTTTTCTGGGACTATTGTAGTTTTCATGATTGACTGATTTATACAAATTTATTTTTGATTATTTTATTATAAAATTATGATAAAATTTTATTATATTTTTTATTATATTATAAATTTTATTATATTTTATTATATTATAAATTTTATTATATTTTATTATAAATGAACAGACAGTAAATTAAATAGCATTCTTCAAGGATTAAGAGTTTATGAATTGCAAATGTCATTTTATTTTAATTACGTATGTCTAACTATTATATATAATAATGCTTCTCAGGCATATGTATTATCTATATAAGTATAATATATGTATGTGTACAAAGTGTTTTATTCTGAAGAAAAATATGTAATTTAAAAAAAAATATCATCGATGAAATATGTATTAAAATACATTCTATGATCTTGAAATAATATTGGAAAAATGATAAAAAATTCTGAAATATGTATGTATACATATGTATTTACTATTTATATTAAAAATGTTTCAAATTATATGCGGCGATGCGCTGTTTGAAGCAAAAATTTCAATTGCATACTATTTAATTAATATCAATTCTACTTACATTATTTGAATAAATAAAATAATGCTTCCAATGTCTACAGATTCATTAATTTTCACATCTATGAAATACAAATAATAAAAGTTATATTTGGAAGTATGTTTTTGTTGGCGTTCAATAAATATTGTTCAATTAATTCTATCTGTTTTAATTTCTATAAAGATAAAAAAGATAATTTCTATAGACATAAAAAAGATATTAAATTTTTATATACGTATCCATTATTAATATTTTCTCGAAATATATTATATTTAATTAAATTATTAAAAAAAAAAAAAAGAATAATCAAATCTGGATTCTTATTACTGCATCATGTTTGTTTCGAAAATTGATTGCTAAAATTGAATTATTCTAACAATAATCAAATTCTAATAATATGTTCTCAAATAAATTTATACGAATTAATAAATTTAACTCTTCACTCGTTTGATAAATTATTTACTTGTTTCTTTGTTATAATTTATTTAAATATGTGATTGAGTGTTGATTAACCATGAAAATATGCATGTATACGTAATATGCAATTACGTACAATAGATAGGCATGTTTCAAAAATTTCTCAAATTTCTTAGTTTCTAAAATTTTTAATTAATACAATTATCCATTCGCACGTCAATTATTTCATTACTGAAATAAATTACGAAGTTACTTCTAGGATATTATTCATATTCAGTTAATTTAATAAATATTAATACAAAGTTACTAATATAATTAATATGAATATTAGTACAAAGTCAGTAATATAATTAATATGAATATTAGTACAAAGTCAGTAATATAATTAATATGAATATTAGTACAAAGTCAGTAATATAATTAATATGAATATTAGTACAAAGTCAGTAATATAATTAATATGAATATTAGTACAAAGTCAGTAATATAATTAATATGAATATTAGTACAAAGTCAGTAATATAATTAATATGAATATTAGTACAAAGTTACTAATATAATTAATATAATTATTAATACAATGTGATTGGAATAATTTGTTATAAACAGACACAAATTATTTAAGATATGCTTAAGATTCTAAATCGGTGTGCCTTCTAAACAGAACGATCAGTAAATTGATTAGGCGAGCGCAGCGTAACACTCCTTATGAACAAGGAGTAGCATTCTAATGCAACATGACATAACGTTGTTACATTAATCAGTGGAAGTTGTACAAATGGCATAAATTCAGCGAACTAATCGAAATTACTTATATCTACGAGACAATCGATATCAGTCACAAACTTAACGTCAAAATTAGCATTGAGTAGTGAAAACATTCAGTAAAATATAATCTTTTGATCAACATATCAACAGTTTCTTGTAAACATTTCAATTAAATATTCAGGTAAGAGGCACCAGGGGCGAGCACACCGAAGGCGAAGAAGGTGTTTACGATATCAGCAACAAACGTCGGCTGGGCTTGACCGAGAGAGAAGTGGTTTTCGAAATGAGAAATGGAGTGCTCGAACTGATCAAACAGGAGAAGCAACTACAGGGTGACTGAACGGCGATATCACCCGTCTTTCCAAGAGAAATCGACGAACGTCCGGAAACTGTAAACTATTTCGTCGATTTCAGCCTGATTTAATCATTCTTGTGATTCTTAATAAAAATCGGAATATCTCAACTGTATCGATTAACGTTCCCTCGCCGGTATATTTCCGTTTCGGGCACGAACCGTTTCCTACTGGTTATCGACAAGTCGGAGCAGCGCTTGTCTATTCTGAAACGTCTGAAACATTCTCTCGCTCGTCGAGTCTCAACTAAAGAAATATCGATGCTTTATTAACCGTTCTGGTGCACCGTTTGTAATATCGATTACGTTTATACAAGAAACCATATAGTTTATGTATACCATTTACACACTGTTTTTATCTGACTTGCAAACTAGTTTATTTAATTTAATTTTGTTGCTCCATGATCGAAATTAAAATATATACGTATTCATTGATTTTTCAATTTTGTTGCTCCATGATCGAAATTAAAATATATACGTATTCATTGATTTTTCAATTTTGTTGAATTGTTTGATGATAATAATTTATTGGATTTAATAATAAATTATATTTCATTGGATTCATTGAATTTATTATTAAATGTTATAATTTTATTATTGAATCATTTGTAACATTGTTATGTAAAATGTGTGAAATGTAATATTATTGAGGCAATTTCTGAAACATTTGACCTTTGTTCGAACTTGTAACGCAATACAAATCGAACAGTTTTGTTACCAAAGTTTATTTTCGGTCAACAATGTTATCGATTTAATTTAAAAGAGGCAACCACATTTTTCGAAAATTTCTTTCCACGTTCGATATTTTCTAGATATATGATGTTAAATTTTTCGGTTAGTAAAATTATTCGAATAAAAAAAAAAAAGATATAAACGCATTAATTGATGTTTCAAAATCGACGTCGGAGAATAAAAAATACAGTTGATTAAATAAAAACAACACTATTAATTTACATCTTTTCAATTTCTCTACTATCCTTCTATTCTCAATCCTATTTATCCTTTAGAAATTTTTCGAAATTTCTCTTCTATTAATCTCTTTTAGATGAATTAAAAGACTTGAAATTAGTGATACCACTTTCACTAAGGAGTTGCATATTTTTGAATGTTTGCAAAATAGAGAAAATTCAGGAATTTGTTGGGAATAAAATTACGTTTCATTAGCAAAATAATATGCACATTTTATTATGTATTGTTCAACTAGTAACTGCTAAAAATTTGAATTAAATATAAGACATGGCAGCAGACGTGGTTCATTAAAACATTGTCTTGAAGCAAATGTTTTACATTTTATGTTAAATTGTACAATAGAAGTATTTTTCAAATCCATTTAAAAGAAAAATGACAACAGCTTTGAGAACATTACTACAAATTTTCATCCCAATTTATTTAGTAATTTTTCAAATATTTCTCCTATTTTTAAAATTCATTTCATTCCAATTAAAACGCTTTTTAAAGTTTCATTTGTCTGTCATCATTGGATGCCGACAAAAACTATAAGTATATGTAGAATATTCTAGAATATTCTAAATAGATCATAATAACAGAATATACAATTTTTGATGAATCGATTTTTTTTTACTGTAATCTCTTAATGGAAAGAAAAACAAACAACATTATCAATTCACCTCTATATCCATGAAACTGATATTATTGTAAGTACACTGGTAGGTAGTTTTTTATTCGTATAAAATATTACTTGAATAACGTGAAAGTTGTACATGTACGTGATACGTACGAATTTTTTAGTATTCACTGTATCGCAATGAGCTTACGTGAAAGCCATTCCAAGCAGGTGGAATCAAAAATGCTAGCACAGTGTTTTCCACAGCTGGTAGAAAATATGTATGTACGATTACTTGCGACACTAACCCCGTGAGAGACCTTATATCGACAACATTGGTTTTATGACACTCAATATTCACTTCTCTGACATACATCCTTCGACATGGAGGACAACACAATACATAACAAACTTAATCGCGCACAATTTTACATAATAACATTGAAGTTGTAGAACTTATGAGATTCGGTATAAATAAACATGTGCAACCAAATTTCAATCTTAGATTTGCACCAGAAACGATTTCCATTTTTTGCAGAAAATTACAAATTTTCGTAAAACTTTTTTCTAAATTTATTTATTTATTTATTTATTGTAAATTTTTGTTTGTTCGTTCGAACAATTTCTTTCAGAACACTATATATATATATGAAAATATCATTATTACTATATAAATATAAATATCATTCAGACTTCCATTTATTTCTTTACTAGTAGATATTTGTTCTTAATAATTTATTTTTCCATTAAAAATTTTTGCACAGGCTCTTGCATAGAATTGGTTTGAAGTATATGTGAATTTTAATAATATTATACGTATACAAAGTTCAATATAATAAGGATGTTATGTATGATTCTGGAAAAATTTCAAAATGTCTACAAAAGTCTCAACATTTGAAGTATCCACGATCCAATGGAGTTTCAAACTTGAAAGAATCCAACGTCACCAACAATATTCTGGTACTAGGTAAGTTCAACAGGTATTAAAATAACTAGATAACCGGAAGGAATCTCGAAAGGTGAGCATATTAATAATTTATTAAGAAAAGTCATACGGTTATTATCGATCCAATGTGAAAATTGTTTATTCTATTTAGCCTTCCTCTACGTCAATACCATGCAAAGGATAATCAGCCAATAATTGAAAGGCCAAGAATCATAGTGGTGCAAGTCCAAATTTTTATATAATTTGAGTTATTAACGTTTCTCAACTATTGACGGTTCTTATATATAGTAGTGTTCTAATGTGTGTGTCTATATATATATAGTACAGTATAGTGTTCTACAAATACTGTTGTTGTAACTTCATTTATTACTGAGAAATAATAGTATTATAAATATTTTAGGATTTACACCACCATGATTTTCAATTCAATAGATTTTTGCACTTATGTTTTTATTAGTTAGTAGTTTATATATATATATATATATATATATATATATAGAGAGAGAGAGAGAGAGAGAGAGAGAGAGTACAGTATAATGTTCTACAAATACTGTTGTTGTAACATCATTTATTACTGAGAAATAATAGTATTATAAATATTTTAGGATTTACACCACCATGATTTTCAATTCAATAGATTTTTGCACTTATGTTTTTATTAGTTAGTAGTTTATTATAGTTACTTGTACGGTTGAAAGGTTTCCCTATGAGTTCTTTTATTAAATTTCTTTATTCGAATTGTGAGTTTTGGAAACTCAGAAACTAATTAGAGTGAACCAATTAAAAAGAAAAAATGAAAAATACGAATACAGAATAAATCAGATAAATACGACGGATAGAGAGATATAGCTGTTTGCTTTCTTACTCAAAACTTCAAAGTTGAATTAATTAAACATCTGTTATGTAGCATAATCCAACAGCTTTGTCCAACTTGTATATCCCTTATGTCTTGAATATCTCTTTTGGAGATATGAAAAAACTTTGTTGACGTAAGTTGCTTAAGACAGGGAGAGCCATAATATAGTAATGACTTCTTCGTAGGTGGAGGTTTCAAGGTCACCCTCACTTTCTTAAGTGGAACGATATATTTTTTGATCGAATGCAGCACAACATTCCCTATAAAAAGGTACTAGCCTATATATGTATATTGAAAAACTATTCGTTTAGTAGACATTTTAACTTTAATTTTATAAAATTCATGCATAAAAGGCAAGACAAAAACATATATCTCTGTTTTTCCTCGTGTCTTTCATATAATATATTTTATAGAACTAAAGTTGAAATATTTTTTAAACTAATAGTTTAAGAAATATACATAGGTTAATTAGCTGTTTTTTTAATAGAAAGTTTCGAACTGTATTGATTAATGGATTGGAAAGTATGTCACTTCGTGCAAAAAATTGAAAATCACATTTTGTTTTCCGAACAGCATTGCAAAAATAGAGTACATAGATAAAAAAAACTTAGTCTTTATATTGGTTATGTGAAACAATAAAACTAAAATTGAACTTAATAAAAACTAGAAGTAAAACTAAAAATTTAACAAAAATATTTTTCATTTAACAGAAATATTTCGTCTACGACGAATGATATCTACGTTTTTCAGATGTCGTCGAAACTCGGGATATTTATGATCCTCAGAAATTCCGTCGTCGTTAGATAAATCTGAGATTTTCAGAAATCCTCCCAACAGAGCTCTATGAGTTTTTAAAAATTCGAAAGATATGTACTTCGAGTATTTCGAGCGTTTGAAGTGCTTGAAGATTCCATTCTTATCAGAAGTTCTATTAGAATTCCACGCTCATTGGAATTCGCTTGGAATTATCTGTACTGTCTGAAAGTTTTCGTGATCCTCAGAACTTTGAAGAATGTCGTGGATATCTAGAGAGATTTCCATATGCACATATCAATATCCATATCTACATCTATATCTAACTTATATCCATCGATACATCCCATATACCTTGAAATTCTTGATTACGAATGATTTTTCAATATTGAGATCACTGATTATTTCAAAAAGAAAAAAGATGTTTGAAGATAAATTTCAATATTTAAAATAAAAAATGAAAACAACTAATGAATAACGAAAATTATTATTTATTCATTTTCTACGTAAAATAATTTGTTAAACTCAGGTCTATTTCTATTTTGTAAATATCTGTGAACGAGAGTTGCTGCAATTACCTAATTTTTGATGTTTACTCGAATCGATCTATAAATTTATACAATTTATTTATGTTTATTTAATTCTAAATCTCCACGATACAAGCATTTTTTTTTTTTTTTGAAATAAAGCAACTTAATTTTTGAATAAATGTGTCGAATATACCTTCTCTTTCTGTAGAATTAGAACAAGAAGTCTTTTGTCATAAATCTCCATTCATGTTCTTGAGGCTGTCAGGCTCTTATTGTATTTATATGTATCTTGCAACCAAGTAGAATATATCAATACTATGTCTGACAAGTGGCATAGTAAGTAGAATCATGGATTCCTGTATCTGTTAACCTTGAAATTGTTATTAACAGATTCTGCAACATCTGAACAAATACTTGGACTTTAGAAATTTCTTATCTGATTTGATCATTGTGTCAATTAATATATTATAAATATACATGTCAGTTATATATTATAAAATATACATAAAAGCCGTTATTAATCGAATAAATTACGTCTACGGTCTTTTATTAAATAAGTTAACGTCTATGGTCTTTTAAAATTTTTCAAAACGATTTTTTATTAACAATTTTAAAAAAAAACTTTAGCGTAAAGCGGAAACAAAAAATCGTGAATATTTTTATATTTCTCTCAACTTTAAGAAGCCGAATAATAATTGAATCAATTAGTTAATTTGAATAATTTTAGAATTTTTATACAAAATTATTTAAAGTAATT